AACCCCCTGTAAACTAGCAGTTGTGAATTCATATATTATCAATAGGTGGTGACTTTATGGAGAAGATTGTACATGTACAATAAATAACACAATAACCACGTTTCAGGGACACCACTTGTTGGGCTTGTGGCATTATTGATTGGCTTGTTTTTCCCAACCTACGTTTAATTTGTATACGAATAGAAATGAATTACGTATAACTCGATTTTATGGAGCCTGTTACCGGTATAACTCTAGTGGCCATAAACTCCCCTATGGCGGATGATTTATACATGGCAGCCACAAGTCCGCAGTCCCGGGGGTTGTGTCCTTAACGAATCGTAATATCGTTTCAGAACAGCATGATAAGTCATAATTTCTACAAAGAAATTATCGTTTATGAATAATACATCATATATGATTTTACTTCCCAGGGGCAAGCGCTCGCCCTTGACCATGCATCAACAGGTTTGGTTACTGGACACATTATTTTACACAACACCCGACCAAATATCAATGGAAGAAAAAATTACATTCTAACATGTCTTATATGTATCAAAGAACCGTTACTATGGTAACTCTTCTTTGTGATTGTTGATTTTTGTCGTTTAGACTCATCGTTATCAACGACATAATCAGCACGTGTGGGTGTAGTACAGTGAAACATATATATAACTAGTGAGAACATGAAAAAATAGCTAAGTAAGGCCGGTTGAGCTCATTCTTCCAACACTTGCTAATTATAAGTTGAATTTTCCAAACACTATACAAACATAATATGAAAGTTTTACTTTCTGCACTGACAATGTATGAATTAAACGTGTCGCAACGTTTCAATACCGACTGGTCCCTTTGTCAACCCATGACTGCTATTCCGTCTTTGCGTATTGCAGGGTTATCTTCTCTTGGGAGCAGGTATTGATTGGTACGTCTTTGGTTTGTGTGAGAAAATTACGTCGTTTTCTCAAAAATTGATGACGTTACTCTCACAAACAAGTGACGTAACAATCGATACCTGCTCCCAAGAGAAGATAACTCTGCAATACGCAAAGCCGGAATAGCTTGACAAAGGGACCAGTCGGTCTTGAAACGTTGCGACACGTTTAATACGTACAGTGTGTTTGGAAAGTAAAACTTTGATATTTTACNATTCGTCCGTCTGTGGTCCAGTAGGTGTCGATGGCTTTACTCCATTATTTTACATATTTCTGATGAACCTTATTGAAGATGGCATGCAAACATGTCTTTATTGTATCAACTCTACAACGTTACTGCTATGGTTGTACGTGCCTTCTTCCTTTGTGCCGAACATAGCTTTTTCATGTCCTAGATAATACCTCTTCTTTTAGTAAATAGGTTATGTTGTGCAAGGAAATATTTGTCTCGTAAGACCTAGTTTCAGCTCACTAACAAACGATACAACAGGTCAAGGTTAGCTGGAGCTGACGTCGTAAGTTCTTTACTCTTTGATAATAGATTATTATAGCAATGAGGTGCATGTAATCATCGTCCCCTTAATTCTTAATTCTTCGCCTTTCCATTCTCTCTCTCTTAGCAATCTTATCCACTCCCCTTCGTTATTGTGTACTGAGAGGTGACGGAAAGAAGGAAAGCGAAGGCGCCAAACGAAGTTGGACTAATATTGTTTATTCGCCTCTCAAAACCATCGTTGACAGAACTGTCCCGTTTTCGCGCACAAAGCGAACTTGAGGGAACGAACAATTGTCCCTTCAATGACGTCATTACTGAATCGTGCCCGTGTTTTTCTCTGCGTTTTATGGTTTAAAAAAACGTACAACTTTTCTAGGCACCTATAGCCTTTTGGTCATTTTTCTGTTTTCGCTGTGTCCATTTATATTTTGGCTGTCTTTCAATTTTAGCATTTCTGTACCAGCGATTCTTTCTACAATATTTTGAGAGATATTGAAGAGATAAGAAACTTACCCTATGCAGTAGGACATACACAGTTACAGTGTGCGTTAGCTCAACATGAACCGTTGGATGCGTTGTTGACGAGAACGTTTTTTTTAAATGAAAAGTTATATTTTTCATTGCTCAATTATATTCCATCTCCAATTACCAATAGTTAGAAAACAATGATGAAGCGTGTCGGGTGTAATCTGCTTCAGTATTCTAAACACTAGGCTTTGAAGGTGTTTGCATTTGTCTTATTAGTTTCTTTCCTGTCAACACCTACCATTTATGAGGATAAGTTGGCGAAAACTAGTCAGCGTTGTATGTGTCATTACAGTTATGTGGTTGAGAAAACAAAATAATATACATGCATATTTCCTCATTCAATAAATAAAGTCAGCAGAGGATATACTGTAAAAGCCCAAATTTTCGCGTGTGGAAATATTCGCTTTGTGCATTTTTAAAGAGATCGCGGTGTGGAAATGTTCGAGTGGCAATGTTTGAGATATCTAGACACTGCATATTTAATATCTATATAACGTAAAAATTTATATTCGCGGGTGCATATTTTGGCGCTAATTTATTGAACGCAAAAAAAACTATATAATGTAAAAACATATATTCGGGTGTGGATATTTTCCCACTAATTTATTGAACGCGAAAAAAAGCGAATATTTCCACGCCGCGAAAATTACCTCAATGTTAGTAATTTGCAAGAATGTGATGGTTTGTAGATTGTTTTCAAATATTGCATATCTTACATAGCTGGTATCCGATGGTTTGGAGAGATGTTAGCTGTGGCGCAATTATCATTCTTAACGGCTCGTACAGCTAGATGTAATTCACAGCTGTAGGCAGGTGCTAAAGATACATATAGAATGGTCTATTATGCTGTGCAAATATCAAATGTATCAGAAATAAATTGACCAAATTGTAACATATGGCAATTCATTCCCAGTTTTCCCGAAAAAATATAAAATTTAAAATTCTACTCTACCTATAGAGCGTACTGAGATAACATATTTAAAAATAAATTGGCAAAACTCTGTCTGTCTGTCTGTCTGTAGATCACTTATATATTGCTTTCGTGAGATTCCTGTAAGCCCTCAATCGCAAAATGAGCAACACAAAATTTCGTACATATATTATAAAGCATTTACACGCTTATGAAACTTCCCACGAATAATCACAGGCAGATAAGCTATCCGAGTAATTAATTTTGAGTGAACTATTTGTAATCTATTGCAGATAGAAAAGAAAACGGCTGCTTAAAATTTAGATTGTCGTTTCATAAACCAAAACAAAAGAAACGTTTTACTGCATCATATAACCGTTTCGTTCATTGGGGTTCATATGTGGTACTACAGAGATAACAAAAATGCAAAGTCATCTTTCAAGCGTTCCGAAACAAATAGACCACAACGAAAAAATGAAAGGTGATCACAAGAGATCTACAAACAACCAATCCTGAATACTTTTTAGCTTCAAGGTCACGGCCAACCTCGAGGACTGACAGGCCACCACCAACGACCCCCGCCTCCTTAACGAGATAATATTGTTTTACTTTGTTTCGTTTTGATACACAGCCTGCTACGGTGGACATTTATTATACATGTTATATATCTTCTTTGTCTTAATTCTCATAATTTGATATTGTTGCTCGGCCTTGGTCTGTGCGTCGCTCGCTAAGAATCATGACAATATCCTGCGTGAACCTCAAGATACATTAGGAGCGCTATTGGCGATCGACGTCGGAGAAATTCGATTATCTTTGATGGTTTCACTTCAAGTCAGTCTCTTAATGATACCTCTAATGTAGATCGCCTTGGGTTAACTTTTGTATATGAAGGCTTCTTCAATACATTAGGTTGGATGAATGTACGTACTGGATCCAGTCTCTCGAATGTTACTTAACTTAAATTCCTTAACTATTTTTTTTTCAAAGGGAAGCATAATTGAAGTTGAGGTTCAACAAGTCCCCTAATAGATTATATGGCCGTCGTTATATGATATCGTTGTGCCTCTGAACAGCTAGTAAAAACGAAATAATGAAGTTCCATATGTCCTTGGTTTGGTTTGTTTGTGTTTTACGTCCTATTAACAGCTATGGTCATTTAAAGAACGTGCCAGGTTTTGGTGGTGGATGAAAGCCGGAGTTCCCGGAGAAAACCACCGACCTACGGCCAGTACCTGGCGACTTATACACGTAGGTCTCGAACCCGTGACTTAATGGTGGAGGGTTTAGTTGAAGCAGAATGTCAGACGCCTTAACCACTTGGCCATCGCGACCCCTACATGTCCTTGGCATAAAGACAATCTTTATACATGTATAATACGTAAAAAAAAATTAAAAAAAAAAGGTTCCAAAGAGATTGACATTGTCCTATTCGATTTATTTTTTATGTTGGTAGCAGCCTTAATGCATTTTTGTAAACAAAATGTCGCTGTCATTTAAATAACCAATGTTCAAATAAAATCTATTTCATGTATCTATATCACACCACTGATGCTTAATTATAGTTTTTAAATACACCTTGTTATGGGGTCGAATTTTACAGTGACCAAACCGTATTGTGTGGAGCTTGTCAAACCTTAATAACACATCTTAAGTAAATTTTCCTTTACGTTGGTAATGCCTTCCAATATAACACTTAAAGTTTAGGACATGAATAAATATAAGCTTTAAGCTTGTTTTCTGGTACTTCTGTAAATTCATGTTTATAAAAACTTTGCATAATCATTGAAATACTGTTTAACTTAATTAAAGAATTCCGTTAGGTAAGGAACGTTTGTGAAACAGGCTCTTACTGAATATAGAACTCTGAACATATGAACAATGAAGCTGCCTAACGGAAGTTCTTATGGTGTGATTGTATTTCGAATATATTACAGTTTCAAGTTATTTTGAGTAATACATATGTTGGTTTTATACTTCGGGTTTTGGTTCCGTCATAAATTAAGATTAAGACTTTACATCCATTTACCGGTAAGCATTTCTTTACATTACATTACTCGTGTGTGCTTGTTATACATCCTGTTTTGATGTCGCTTCATTTTTTTTTATTTTTTTTTAAATATAATTCGGATTTTGTCCTTATAAATCATACCTTGCCCGTCCTGTCTGTCTCGTTGATTTCTTCTACGGTTGGCGAATCCTCCAGTATAGTCTGCACACTCTCAATATCTCCCTCCTGGCACGCCTCTAGTAGCGTCAGGTCGTCATAGAGACACGCGGCATCGAAACTTCCGGTGTCGTCATCCTCAGTGGACGTACTCATGATGGCGTGTTTTGGACGTACATATGCCTGTAAGTAGATATAAGACTGTTTTACTCGTTTAGAGATGAGAGTATAAATCTATGTAAATGTGACGCATTGAAGGAATGACTGAGCAAAACAAATGAAAACAATACACGACACATGCAATGTCAAAGTCAAAGTATCAACAAGAAAGACAAAAACAACAGATTTTAGCAGAGAACTTTACATAAATCCACAAAAACGCCTCTGTAATCGCAAATGAAGCATCGGACAGATTTTGTAGTCTCAAGGCATGCATCTGGTGGAATTTGCATTGCAATAACACCTTTTCATACTAATCAGATAAAGGACGGGGTCATTAGCATCACCTTTGCGTACGCCCTTAAATTGTTCAATCAATCAGAGGCCACGACTGTTGTTTTTGATGACCGATGGGATATATAGCTTCAGAGCATCCATTGTGACGTCAATGTTTGGTTTTGCATGGTTCAACGTCTAACAGCTAAGGTAATTTAAGGACGTGCCTCGATGTGTGTTGTGGTTGGGTGTATGTGTGTATTTGTGTAAGAGACATATTGGTGTACTTTCGTCCTTGTTATAGCGCGGAACTGATGCCGACTTTATAGTGCTATCTCACTGAATTACCATGACGAAGGCACCCAGCACAGCATTTCTGTGACGTCAGGAAAAGACACTTTACAAAACCTCATACCAATGTGATACCGCATTGAATACGATAATCATGACGTCATGACACTATCTCATCGTATGGAAGACAATAGGTTTAACGTCAAACTGATCCTGTTTAAGACTCCATGGGTTCTATATATATTTTGATCGAATGCTTACATATCATTTTGCTCGCCTCTTTGAAAATGTAACCGGGAAGATTCCTTTGTAGCTAAGCAGAGCTTCGTTAAAACGGATTTTTAACTTCCTTCCACAAATCTAATATACTATGTAAAGGCAAAGCCTTAAAAGAGCGTCGCTTTTGCTGATCTCTGATGCTTACTGATTCAGAATACTGCTTTCAGAATGCAATAAGATAAATTTTATTTAAAGTCAACAAGTCGAGGAATAACAATAAGGCACAAGCTCTAATGAGATTAACGACATAACAGTAGGAGGGACCGGGCAAGTTCGGACCTTTTTTTTATCAAAGTCCGTTCTAGGAAGTATGGCAGTACGTCGGTTTTTGAACATTATTCAACTTTTCCTGTCGGAAGATCGGATGGCCGAACGAGCCCCGCCACGGGTAAAGTTTTGACAGGCTTCGGGTAAGTTCGGCCTCCATTGGAATCAGCTTAATTATGACCTCGCCATGGTATTATTGGCCGAACCTGTTCAGGCCCAAACTCATATATCGATATGTAGTCTTAATCACTGTTCCATTCTGAAAAACCGTATTGAATATCCAATTTTGTAACAGTCACCGAGGTTTGACAGGTAATGATGCCAATCAGAATTTAACAGTTTCTGTCTCTAACTAGTGATAGATCGACACGCCTTGTGAAAAAGTAATACGTTGCTGAGAAAGGGCGTTGAACTCGGGTTGGTTGTCTGAAAAATTATTGTTAATTTCGTCATAAATGCATTAATCATTGTTTCTTTACGAGTGGTGATGCATGAATGAATTATGTAAAGTCTAAAACCTGACTTTCAAAAGTGTTAAACTTTTTGTTCATATTCACAACAAATGGAAATCAAAAGCTGATTAAATATTTAGATGATGAAAACATAAATGTACACGTTGACCTATTCCGTCTTTGCGTATTGCAGAGTTATCTTCTCTTGAGAGCAGGTATCGATTGTTACGTAATTTGTTTGTGATAGTAACGTAATCAATTTTTGAGAAAAACGACGTAATTTTCTCACACAAACCAATGACGTACCAAAAATAATACCTGCTCTCAAGAGAAGATAACTCTGCAATACGCAAAGAGGGTGTTGGTTTTATGCCGGCTCTTTTTGAAGATATCTCCCGGTAGAAATATTAACAGAACCTGGTTGATGACAAAAAGGATCTCCAGAAAATATCCACATTTTTACTTTTTATGCCAGTGACAAAAACTGAAAAAAAAGTGCCGACAAAGAGATAAATGCAACGGACATCAGAAGGCCGATGGATTGTGACGTGTCTGTGACGTCATAGTATGATAATCTCCAAACGAAGTTTCATGCCTGTTAGTATCAGATTGTGTGTGATAGGCTTTTTGATTCACAATGTATATTAGTTTTTATCTCAATAAACAAGTAATAAAACATGAAGAATGTTTTCACTATATGAAGTTTTTTCATGTATGGGTTGACACACAGTTGTCGTTGCTTCGAGGATACACTTCCTGTTTCCCCACTGGACGTCTACTTCCGGACAAAAAAAATTAAAGGCAATGTGAAGCAAGGGGAAGCAACTCTGTTTACGCACGCATGTGTTACCAAGGCGCCCGAGAGCTTCTCTCTCATCACAGGAACTCTATTGCTCCATTGCCTGCTACAGTACCAAGTATTTACCATAAAAGTACTAATTTCCCTTTTGTACAGTCTCTTCTTGAGATTTCAACCCATAAAGAATAGATTTAGCAAAGTACCAAACTAATTTATAAAGGAAAAGTGCAATTTCAAGTTTTAAAATGCCCTGTAGCAAGCTGTATTTTCCTCGAGTGTCCCTCAGTACGCACTCGTCAAGTACAAACGCGTGTAATGCACTGTAGACACCATAAGATGAGGCCTTATACATGTAGCTGTTTCAGAGGCAGGTGTATAAGGAAATGATCACACGTTGTAAAGACTGCTACGTAACATCATATGGAAAAACTTCATATTACATTTAAGTTAACATTTTTCATTTGTATCGTCAATTATTCTAACGGAAAGATTTTGTGTATCGGTGTGAAATTTTGTCACAGAGAAGCTGCCAATGGCTTACTTAGAGGAAAGCAATCAACTTTTCAATAACGTTAATCAGTCAGGTTAGCATCAATAAGCGAAGAACGTTGATTGTTTTCGGAACCAATAAGTACATGAACTAGTGGAAGTCAGTGACACTAGAACGTGCTGTGATACAAGTAACAAAGTTTAATATCTTACATCGAAAACCAGCTCTCGCTCTGGTGTTCATGGTTTGTACAAGGCAGTTCAATTAGTGTTGTTTGCATTTAATGCGTTATTAAATATAGGTTCATTTATGCGTTGAAGTACAGGATAAAATTAAACTATTCAAAAATTCTTTAAAATAATATACGTCAATATATTCAAGCGTAATGTAAAGTGGGGAAGCTATAGCGAAACGTCAACACATAGCGACAAAATATACCACAGTGTTAAAGTGAAGGACAAAAAATACCACAGTGTCAAAGTAAAGGACAAAATATACCACAGTGTCAAAGTAAAGGACAAAATATACCACAGTGTCAAAGTGAAGGACAAAATATATCACAGTGTCACATTAAAGTGACGTATAGGACACAACGTCAAATTAAATGGACAAAATAAGCCACAGCATCAATGAAGGACAATATGCCACAGCGTCAAAGTACAGGGACAAAAATAAGCAACCGCGTCAAAATAAAGGGACAAAAAATGCCACTGCGTCAAAGCAAAGGTAAAACAAAATGCCACCGCGTCAAAATAAAGGAGCAAAATATAAAGCAGCTTAAAGTAAAGGGACAAACTATACCAAAGCGTCAAAGTAAAGGGTCAAATATACAACAGCCACAACGAAAGGGAACAAATTATACCACAACGTCAAAGTAAAGGGACAAAATATACCACAGCGTCAAAGTAAAGGGGCAAAATATACAACAGCTTAAAGTAAAGGGGCAAAATATGTCAAAGCGTCAAAGCAAAGGGACAAACTATGCCAAAGCGTCAAAATAAATGGACAAAATAGACCATCGCATCAACAAAAAGGGACAAATTATACCACAGCGTCAAAGTAAAGGGACAAAATAAACAACAGCGTCAAAGTAAAGGGCTAAATATACAACAGCGTCAAAATAAAGGGACAAAATAAACAACAGCGTCAAAGTAAAGGGACAAAACATACCACAGCCTCAACGAAAAGGGACAAAACATACAACAGCTTAAAGTAAAGGGACGAACTATGCCAAAGGGTCAAAGTAAATGGACAAAATAAGCCACCGCAACAACAAAAAGGGACAAATTATACCACAGCGTCAAAGGAAAGGGACAAAATAAACAACAGCGTCAAAGTAAAGGGCTAAATATAGAACAGCGTCAAAATAAAGGGACAAAATAAGCCACCGCAACAACAAAAAGGGACAAATTATACCACAGCCTCAACGAAAAGGGACAAAAAATACAACAGCTTAAAGTAAACGGAAGAACTATGCCAAACGTCAAAGTAAATGGACAAAATAAACCACAGCGTCAAAGTAAAGTGGCAACATATACAACAGCTTAAAGTAAAGGGACAAACTATGCCAAAGGGTCAAAGTAAATGGACAAAATAAGCCACCGCAACAACAAAAAGGGACAAATTATACCACAGCGTCAAAGTAAGGAGAAATATATATCACGGCGTCAAAACACATTCTTCAAATGCACAACTTCAAAACTCAGGGGCAAAAGTACGCCGTAGTGTCAACATAAATGCACAATTCTAACACGATTCGTTTGCAACGCGTGTTTTGATTGGATACGGACCATGTTATAATCTGCGATAGAATCATGATCAATCGTGTTAAGCTCCTCCAGTCGCACAATATGGCGTCAAGCTCGCTTCTTAGCGAAATCCCGCTGATAAGGCTAGCAGGCAACGGAGCAGAAACTATCGATGACATGTTTTTGCTGAATGAATTAAAAAGTAAAAAGTAAATATTCGTAAACAGACGAACGTTTCAGTAATAAATTTAAGAACAAGTTCTTGCCTCCATTTATTTCTGAAACGTTCGTTCCATCCGTGTGCTAGTTAGATTCGAAATCAAATGAAACTTTTAACATGTGTCGTATGAATTTTCACAAAACTCTTCACAAATCTATACAAATAGTCGACGATTTTGTCGATAAGCACAGATTGGTATGGA